GACCTGGTGCCTTCTTCCTGTGTATGGCGCCAGGCCCCTTCACACTTGTGATGAGAATGATGTATGTTGGGTCTGCGTTGCAACGTTGATTGGGCTAGTTATTGGTATCCTAGCATTCTGCTGCGCTGTCTTGCACTATGTGGTAGAGGTCAGTCCCGGTAAGGTTAGGACTTGTATCAAAGTCTTCCACTGCGCCACAAGGTGCCATTTTGTATGTATCAGAATGCACATTGCTTGTTGAGATTCCACTTGCACTGCATTGTCCATTCAGTCCTTTCTATCACATTGCGAATCCTCGGTTTCCCAACTGGGCATGTGACAATGCTGTTGTTCACTTTGAGTTTTTGACCCAGATGGCTACAATACCTTCAGGAGGAGGCTCTGACAGTGTTTGCTGTGGGTGTGAATTTTTCCAGGAGTTTCTATTCATGTTTGTGATGGCCAAATGGTTGCTTGCTGGCTCCAGTTGTCATTTGGTCAACGGAAATTGAAGTGAGTTTGAGTGCGTTGAAAGTTGTGCACCTGTCAAGTGGGTAGGATGAGTACCCGGCAGTTTGTGGCCCTTTGGTCTACCCCAAATGAATGAAGCTGAATTCATTGTGGAGTATGTCACTTTTGCTTGTGGGTTTCACCTTTTTTGGTGTAAGGGTTACCCTTGTCCATGCATGAGTGATGCGAACAAATCAGAAGAAGACGTGAAATTTTGTCGAGGTTTTGAAAATTCAACAAAACTTTCATGCCGTTGGCAAAATGTGCCAGGTTCTGGAGCCGTGCTTTGCAAGCAAGAGTGAAGATATTGTGAAGTCCTTGTGCTCAGTTGTAAAGAAAGTCTACGACGTGTTCCCTGATACTTCCGTGGGCCCGGTGGCTGTAAGTGTTCCTCCTCTTTTCACCAATGTTTTCCGTGTACTGTAATTTTCGTTTTTTCCCTAAAGCACCAATACATGAACAAGATGCGCTCATTAGGGTGCCCGACGTTCCTGGATGTACCAGCGTAGCTGCACTCAGTCAAAACAGAGGCCCTCAGAGGCCCGCAGTAGGGTCTCACGTACTGGTGGTTCAATTGCAAAGTATGTTAGATTGGATTCATCTTTTCATGCTGTTCTTGTTTTTTTTTTTGAGAGAATCGGTTTATGTTAGGTTGGCGTTCATTCGAAGTTTCATGCTGCGATTTTCTTTCTTTCAGAGACTCATGTTGCAAGCTGTCCTCTTTGCGCACCCAGAATTCCTTGCGTCGTTATGGTTTCGATCTTTCTTTGTTTCTCGATGTTGACCGATTGGCACAAGGCAGCCGTGCAGGGCCTTTTTTTGTGACCTTTTTGGCTCTAATAAACCATGATTATCCATCAGGGCTCTCTCTTTGCATGTGCTGTGTTCGTTGTTCTCTGATCAGGTGTGCGTATTCTGGGAAGAAACAAGTGTTGAGGATCATGGTAGATTAGGAAGATTGTTTTATGTAGAAGGAGAAGAGTATCTGGTGGACGGTTTCTCACCGTTGTATGCAGATTATGGCGTTATATTTACTCCATCTGTATGCAAATTATGGTGTTATATTTACTCCATCTGTGTTGGGTTGGATGCTGGGGCTGGCTGTGGGTGTTGAGTCTTGAGCATCTGAGCACAGGAACTCGGGTTTGTTAGTAAAAGATGAAGTGGTAGTCTTTATGTTGCTATTGAGACCTGATGAGTTGTGTTTTCCTGAATATCAGCTGCGTGTGTGACTGCTTTACGATGTGGTGACGGTGATGTCAAACGACTGTGTACATCAACCGAATCACAAAAGCCTTGGCTAAATCTGCAGGATGTGTATGCCGGTGTGCTTCGACATGCCTGGTGCCAGTGCAGGGTTCCACGACAGTAGTCAGAAATCAATGAGAGATTACTAATTAACTTGTTATGTTCCAGGCAGCCTGGGCAAGGTGGCAGGCAGTTTAAGCACAGAATTTTACGCTCGGCTGGGGGATGGTCCCCCGGGTGCCCAACTGGGCAATCCCAGTGGATAAGATCAAAAAAATAAAAAATTCAAAAATTCGAAAGATTCCCCCCAAAAAACATGCAAAATTGCAATGCAAAGCTTTTGGCTGAGGTCCCCCTTGAGGAAAAAAGAACCGTGTAAAATTGCAATACAAACAGCTTTCCATTCTCTAGGCCCAGTGTTCATCCCTAATCCAAGTTTTCACAAATAGAAGGCAGATTCGGCGTGTCCTTGGCAAGAACAGTCGAAGGAATTAGCTGATTTTCTTACTTACTATATATTATAACTACCCAATTTCCATTCGGCATTTAGGGCATTAGGTTGAAGAACAAGAACGCACCTTTTGGTAAATGAATTTCAATGCTTGTGGATGTGTCTGGGGTTGGTATGGACAGTATTGTTGGTGAGGAGTGGGATCCTTATTCGATACTTTGTATGGTCAGGTGCATTTGTCAGAGGCTACCAACAGGAGACCGTCTGTGTTTAAGTTCATCCTGACCCTGACTGTGGATATATGTTTGATTCTGTGGTGGTGTTTTTTGAGATGCCACTCCTGCTCTTTTGTGGAACTTCTGTTCTGCTTCTCTTGTCTGGACATATACAAACATATTATCGACTCTGGTGCGAGAGTTTTGTTCATGGATGAGCTTTATGGGCTAACAAGTTTTTTTTGACTTTTTTGGCTTATGCAGTTAGTATGAACTTTGTGGAAAACGTTTAATGTTTCCCTTGACTTTTTTTTTTGCTGTGTTTTCAAGACGTTGTGCTGCAAAGGCTGATCTTGCGCCTCTAGATTTGACAGAGATCTAATCAGGGTGTTCTAAAGAATCAAAACTGATTCAAATTTCAAAAGCAATAAGACTTCTCAGTGTGCACAGCCTCTGAAAAGATCGTGTTCCTTTCAGCCCTTCGTCCACTTCTCGCAACTTACACTTTTTCTTTATCTTTGTGCTCTGTGAGCAAGTGAGTGAGGTTTCCAGGGCTGGTTTTCTGTCTCTCTTTATTTTTCTCTTTGCTCCGCAAGTGAGGTGCTGAGGGCCGTGGATGCATAATAAGTCCTCACTGCAATTCATTGGGCCTGGTGATGACGTCTGGTTGACTTGAAAGTTGAAACGGTTGGATGTTATTACAGAAATTGGATAGCCACGATGAACCACCACCCAGCCAGATGCCCGAGGAAAGTGTGAAGAATAAGAATGATGCGATCACAGACCCAAGCTCCACTCTGCCGAACACCACTCCGCCGCCGCCAGAGGTCAAGGTGATGCCTCCCACCCAATCCGCCATCGCTCAACTCCGTGATCACCTCATCAACCACCTTACATTCCTCAATACTCCCTCGCCACCATTCCTGCGTATCTACCCTCCTTTCATCCATCATCTGATCCACCTAGGGTATACTCGCAGTCGTAACTCTCAACTCTCCTGAATGTGTCTGATCAGATTTTCAGTTGAAAGTCGCTGTGTTAGTGTGCGCTTCCTCACTATGCTGCCTTTAGTGGAAACAATTTCCCATGTTCATCAACCTTCGTGGATTGACAAATGGCAGATGTTGACAATTTGTAGGGAAAGCGGCCGCGCAGAAGAGTGTCGGCAAACTACAGCACAGCGACATGTCTGATCGGCAATAGAGAACACATCCCTACAGCACAGCGACATGTCTGATCGGCAATAGAGAACACATCCGTGAGCAATCCATTGAGAATTTTCATGATGTGAATTTGAGAGGACACAGTCTTTTTTTTTGTTTCCCTTTTGTTTGCCTTCCTCTGACTATGGTTGTTTGGCAGGAATAAGGTGTCCGAACAGACCGGGAGATTGAACCTTTTCCTACCTAATCAAATCGAATGAAAATGAAATTCCGTGCTAGTGTTCCTCTTTTCTTACCTGGCCTCGTCGTTATCCTTTTTAGCAGAATCAAAAGAAGAAAAAAGAAGAAGAGGCCGTCTGTTGATATCCTGGCATCTTAGGCGTAATGGAACCGCACCAATCCATCCCGTTGAGATATGCAGAGTCATACTCAGGGGGAAACGTTTCTGTGAATCCGTACCTGAATATGATCTAATGTTGTTCTTTTGTACGTGCAGTTCTTACCCCCAGTTCTTACCGTGTTTGATCCCTTCTGTGAAGGCTTTTCGGAAACTGGCCGTTACATGCATACAGGCCTCTGGATGTCAGGGACATTATGATGTCTGGTCCGTGTATGGCGGACTTCAGGGGGCTCTGTCCTGTCTGAAGCTAGATTGTTTTTGATTTTTCAGATATGCAGTATCCGCTTTTGGCTTAAACTTCATGTTCGTTTTTGAGAGACATTGTGAAACATGGGTCACATTATTGCCGTACTTTGGGGGGTATTTTTGTTCTTGCTTCAGGCCTGTCCGGATTGAAGCAAATTTTGCCTTTGAGAAATATTTTGAAACATGGCTCCATTATCGCCATACTTAGTTTACAAACGTTATGTCGTGCAATTCTGTTGTTAATTTTGTTTTCTTTGTTTTCCTTCCAAACTGTTCTGCATTTCTGGAGGTAATTGTGATCGACCCACCTTCCTAAACTATGCCTGTATGTCTGTATATGTTCTGTTTTCGAAAGAGAAAGAGAGTCGTGGCTCCATTATAGCCACATTTCTCTACGGAGTTTATGTCATAGAATTCCGCATCTGCGGAGCTAATTATCACCATTCATCATGTGTCTACCTTCCCGTTCTCTCTCTCTCTCTCTCTCTCTCTCTCTCTCTCTCTCTCTCTCTCTCTCTCTCTCTCTCTCTCTCTCTCTCTCTCTCTCTCTCTCGTACGTGGTGTGTGTGTGTGTGTGTTCGGTCTATGTGAGCAGATTGTGCATGAAAAAGTAGAGGAGCTATTACAGAAACATGTGAATCAACTTGGGACGGCCACAGCCCAGGCTCCTGCATCGGGTGCAGATGGGTCTGGTGCAACGAACCTTGTGACTGCATGTACACTCCACGTTTTGCAAACATTGGCAGAGAGCAACAAGCCATACATTGACAGGTTCATTCCAGGGATTGTTCGGCTGGTTCAAAAGTTGGGTCGTGATGCTTCAAGCAGTACAACTCCGGGTGCCCAAAAGGTCAGTGTTGAGAATCACATGCTGCACCGCTCGATTTGTTTCCTCGTATCTCTCTTTAGAGTCTCTACAGTACCCAAGCTGGGGTGTTCATCAATTTAACTGTGCTTGTTCTAAGGAGTGAGGGAAAATATAGAGAAAGTTTAAAGCTTGCTAGTGGCTATATGCCCCAGAGAAAGGTTTAATCTTCATGGTGGCTATATGCGCTCTCATGCTCCATAAGGCTATATTATTGTTGAGCGGTTGTGCAGAGCCCGTTGCTTGATTGAGTGTGGGTTCCAAGTTCTTCCAGAGTGCATAATTACTGACTCTTAAAGAACACAGAACTGTAGGCTCAGAGTGCATACTGACTCTTAAAGAATACAGAACTGTAGGCTATGTACCACATGAAGGTGCGAGGTATACTTATCCTCAGAGGAGTATATGATACAGCTTTTCTCCCTCACCATAGCCGATTCCTATGGCCATTGAAGTCCTTGTGGGTTCCGAGTTCTTCCAGAGTGCATACTGACTCTTGAAGAATACAGAACTGTAGGCTAAGAGTCAGTATACAGAACTGTAGGCTAAGAGTCAGTATACAGAACTGTAGGCTATGTACCACATCAAGGTGTGAGGCATACTCCTCAGAGGAGTATGTGATACATCATTTCTCCCTTGCCATGGCCGGTTCCTGCGGCCATTGAAGTCCTTCTATGTACCTTTTGCTGTCTTCGGCATCTTATACCTACAAGCACTTTGCTTGACTTAAAACAGCTTAAGACAAGTGGGACTTGGAAGTTGTCACTGTTCTCGGGTGAATAACTGCGCAAGTCTGTGCTTTCCCTGTATTTGAGGAGTGTGTGTGTGTGTGTGTGTGTGTGTGTGTGTGCGCGCGCTGCTTCTTGCAGTGGACAGTGTATTTGTGCACTGTTATCCATTGTAAGGGTTTTTTTTCACTGAATGTCCAGTAAGGGGACATGCTGGCAACATGGGGCAATAGGAATGGCAGGGTTTATATTGTGGTTGTCTGGATGCTTGCCTGCTATCTCTTTTATACAGAGAACTGCCACCTTCCTTCAGACATAATACGGAGTTGTGCCAAATGAGTGACCAGTGTGCATTTCATTCATTTAGAATTTTAGACATACCCTCCAATAGTTTGTATTCAATTTATGTTGTCACCTACCAACTTAATCCCACAACTCAGTTGTTCCATTGGAAGGATCAACTCGCTTGACAGAGGCCGACGTGATTCCCCCCTCCCTCTCCTTGTAAACTCCTCTCACAGAACAGTAATTTAAACAGAAAGTTACACCTCTGACCTTCTCTTCCGAAATAATAATCTCTTTGGCTTTGGGAACTAAGATATTCTAACGTCAGCGCTTTCTATACAACTTCTATAATCTTTTTTAACATTGGCATTCTATTTGACTACACTGCCTAAATCCTCTCTTGGCCTTTTGGCTAAGACCAAGTATACCGTCTGTTCTGATCAGTTTAATATCTGATCCATGGTCCACTTGGCCACATAAAGAAAAAGCGACAAAAAAAGACTACACTGCCTAGGTGTTGTATTTGGAGGTTCATTGCATCTATAAATATCAGTTTCGAAAAATGTTATGTTTTGCAGAAACTTCAATGTAATGTTTTGGCGTTTTGTTAGCAAGAAGAAGGCTCATGGTATGTACCCACATTTCCGGCTGCCACTTTGTTATGGTCATATTTTGATGTACCGGCAGCAGCCAGGCGTTGGGGTTGGTGCACAGGTATCCAACCAGCAAGGTGGTTCGCTTCCAGGTGCAAGGCCAGACGATCCAACAGCAGTAAACGTTCTTGGTGGAGCACCCTTCACGGCGTCGAAGTCTGTGGGAGACTACGCAAGTCCAGCATCAAATTTAAAGATTGCGATAAAGCTCATCAGCAGCCGAGTGCTTGCAGCAGTAAGTTTGGGAGTGCAGTTTATGTTGCCCAGGTCATTGCTGCCTGCTGAGTCTGCCACTCCTTGTCAATGCTTGGTTACGCTTGCTCCATGGTTTTCAGGTTGCCCTTCTCGTCTTGACCAGTCTAAGAACAGTTCCGACTCTTTTCGGTTCTTTGCGAGTTAAAATTGGAACGATACAGAGGAGATTAACATGGCTGGCCCCTGTGCAAGGATGACACACACAAACTCAGAAATGGTTTCTATGAATGAATTGGCTGGCGAGCAATTGTGGGCAACGGTCCATATTGTGTGTAGACAGTTCATGTTTGAATACATTTCCCGTACGCTCAATGTAACATTTGACGTTTAGAGAGAAAAGTCGGGTATGTGAGGGTGAAAAAAAGAAGAGAGAAGAAGTAGCTATGTGGCAATATTTGGCATGGGAAAAAATTCATAACAATGAAAAACGTGCAACCACGAAATGTGCACAATCCTGTAAACCTGTCAGTTCCCTGTCATATGCCTTTATACCACCCGAAGGTAGGACGTGTTAGCCAGAGATATCTGACAGAGAGTCTTCCCGTGATGGTTGTTTATCCCAGATATCTTCCGGTTTTCACCAGGTCTTTTAACTGCCACTATTGCCAACCCTCTTTTCCCCGATGCTCATTTTTTTCTGTGCTAAAATGCCGACTGTCGCAGGCGAGGGCCTACCATGCAGTGCCAGCCTGTTTGTCCGGGTTGGCCGGACCTTTCTGCCGCCCTGCAATTACCAGAAGGTGTGGGAGGCCAAGGGTGCACAATAGTGGTGGCTTACAGGATTCCGTCTGAAAGTTTATGGAGTGATGAGCACAGTCAGTGCAGTATGCTCAAATTGCAAAACATGAACGTTGTTCGCGAGCAAGCTGTTAGCTGTGAAGAACATTTCTGACCAGAACATGATCCCTTATGCAGGTTGAGTTTTTGCTGTTCGTGGTTTTGGGGTTTTGTTAATTCTCGTCTCTTCCTGAGCCGATTTTCCTGAAGCTATTGTGCACCTGTCCGTCGACACATGGACATGGCAAAGCTCAGGTATCGCCGGCAAGAGCTCAGTTTTTTTTGTCTTTGACGGTTGGCAAAAAAACTCCTAAAAAGTTGGGGGATGGGCCTGACAACAGCCGCCACTGATAAATCTCTTCGGCGGCTGGCCTCCTAAAATATCGGAGGCCCACCCGAGGCTCCCTATTTTCCCAAGCGTCAAAGGTACTAGTGGTTTAAAATGTGGTCTTGCTGATATGATGCACAATCCAAAGGTGGAATTCAGTTGTGACATTTTTTTGTTTTTTCTGCAGCTACAGCAAGCCTACAGCAGTCTGCTATGAGACTGATCGACACCTACCTTGTATATGAAGGCACACCCCAGGATCCATCAGTAAAAGTGGTGCTGCAAGGGTGGAGGACTGTGAACAACTAAAGAGCCACAAGTGACTTATTTTTTTAATAGTCAAGCACCGCATCTCTCATTCAGCGTTTCTCCATTTGAGTTGCTGCCATCTCCTCTTATGCTCTGCTGTTGTGATCAGTCAGGACCCTTCAGCGGCTTACTCAAGGAAGGTGCTGATGGGGTGGAAATGGGCGGGAAGGCGGCTGCCTTTAGTTGGAGTAGGCTTCTTCGACGTTCTTGCATCAGACAGTGTTTGAACTGTTAACCAGTTGATTAGTACTTGAAGACCAGGCAGGTAGTTCTGGTTATGTTTTTTTGGGACTTCAGATGTCCAGGAAAGGAGGAAGAATGTGTCCATGACTATATTGTACATTCTCCCTCTCGAGGTTCTTTGAATCTTGTCTGAAATCCTCTCTGAAATCCTCAATGTTCACTGCCTTTGTGGCTGTCATAAGCAGGTTCCCGATGGGAAGAAGTTTGTCCAGACTCTGCAGCTCCTGCTAGGCGACAAGGGGACAGAACCAAGTGTGATGATGACTATCCTCGACGTCATACAGGAGTGGGTCGAAGGGCAGTGGAGCTCTGGCTTATTTGGACCAAAAGATGTCGTTGCCTTTTTGGGAAAGCTTGCTGCAGTGGACAGAGGCGGAATGAGCGAGAGCGTCGTGGAAGAGTGGGAGGGGAGATTTCTCGGGCTTCTTCACAGGTGAATTATCTCCCAACTACTTTGCATGAGAAAGCTCAAATATTTAGCTAGGTGAACTGTCATGGGTTGGGCCACATGAATGTGTGCAAATACGTGTATTCACATCATTTGTCAGTTTACTTTCTTATTTCAATCAATTCAAAAATTATATTCTATAAATCAAAATAGTATATATAATTTATATAGTATATATAATTTATATATAGAGATACTTTGTTTGATTGTTTTTATTAATTCTAGTTTGTAGAACATAGCCCCCAGTTTCTTGTCTTTTCTCCTTTTCTGCCTATACACTCACACGCACATAAGGGTGTTTTAAGCAGTAGCACTCCTGGTGTCGTGTGGAAATCTTGTGGAGAGTGGGATTGTGGCACTCTATACAATCCAGGGGTCAGACAGCAAAGTGAAAGGTGGTGGTCTATCCATGGAGTGATAGAGATGATGGTGATGTCAGTGGGTAGTTTGGTATGAATAGCAGTGTCAGTGGTGCTGTACTCGTGCAGCTAATTTGTTGTGTTCTGTGTTGTTCGTTAAGTATGTTGCCCTACGCCCTCCATCCTTTTACAGACTATAATATATTTTTGCAAGAGTGGCGCTTTGGCGGCAGACGGATGTGTGGGCACTTGGCGCTTAACCACACAAATTTGGCCAACCTCGCGTCTTCTACTATATTGTCTATCTATACTTCTTTTGTTTTATCGATCGTTTGTGATGATTTGTGGATGGAATGAAAGAGAGTTTGGGGTTTCTTAAAAACACGGAGAGAGAGAGAGAGAGAGAGGTGGGGTTGTTAGGCTTTGACATTTGCCTGCCACAACATCCGAGACCAGGCCTGAATCTTTTGTGCAAATGCAAAAAGAGAAAGCCCTGGAATACTGGGGAGGGGGACAAGGGGGAAGCAAGCACTCCCACATGGACACAATCCACACACAGAGAGAGAGAGAGAGAGAGAGAGAGAGAGAGAGAGCTGTTTTTTTCCACTTTCCCTGTGGGTATCTTTTATCCCCCCGAGTCCTTATTCACTCTCCCGTTAATCATGTTAAAGATCGACTTGGAGTTGCGATGATTTATTTGTTCGCCGAGCTTGTAACCGTCCAATTCTTTCCCCAGTTACGAACATGGAATGACTCTTGCTCCACGTAGGCTATTGATCCCTATCCCAGGTACTGCAATGAACCCAGTCAGGAGGAAAGCTCAACAATGTCGAAGTACAGAATGTATCAGCGCAGTTTCAATGTCATCAATCATCCCTACACTATTAAAATCATTAATGTGACAAATCTGATATCCAGGCCGTTGTCTGTTCTACCGGCCCACGGCCCAGATCGACCGAACCATGTAACAAGTCTGCCATCTGTGCCGTCGGGTCCTACCGGATCGACGGGCCTTATCACCGCGCGATCGTAAGATCTTAAGATTGCTCATTAATGCAGGCCGTTGGCCCAGTGCCTTGGGCCCGATGGCCCTGATTATTTGCCCGTTGGAGAGGGCCGTGGTACCTACCGGTTTCTGGGTGCGGTACCTACCGGTGGGGTTGTGTTCGGGCAAACGGATTCCCATAGGCTGCCCGTGATGTAACTACTTTTTCGTGGTGGCGTGTACTGTTTTCGGGTGGGGCCGTGCCTTTCTGGTGGCGGCATGGGCAGATTCTACGGCGTGGGAAAGACCCACTCCTATGCTACTCGACTCTGTACTATAGACTTCAACTTTCCTATCCTATGCTACTACGCTCGACTTCGACTTACCTACTCTACACTACACTACCACGCTCGACTTCGACTTGGCATGTGTTTACACACACACACACACGACATCCGGGCAGACTGTTGGGGTTCAACCTCCTGATGAGTCGGTGGAAGTCCGACAAAACAGCCTCGCTTAGTCATGCCCACGCATGCAGTCGTAAGAGAGAGAGAGAGAGAGAGACGAACACACTACGTTTTTTTACGTGCCTGAGGTTGGGCTCCGCATCCTGAAGGTTGGACGCTGACTGACGGTGGGTTAACTCCACTTTGTAATTGATGTCTGTTGTTTTCGTTTCTTTGTTCGCTTCGAACTACGAGAATGTGTGTGTGTGTGTGTGTGTGTGTGTGTGTGAGAGAGAGAGAGGGAGAGAGAGAGAGAGAGAACTCTACAACGCTCGACTTTGCTACTCCCCCATACAATGTTATGACGACCCGCACACTCCCTTGCTATGACGACCTGCCCCCTCCAATCAAATTAACTACCCCCAGGAGAGATCAGGTCTGAAAACAACTTCTACTACTAACACTATGCAAAACAGAGAGAGAGAGAGAGAGAGAGAGAGAGAGAGAGAAGAGGCATCTGCGTGATCGATCGCTGTGGCATTCGGGAGAAGAAGCATATCTAATCTCTCTCTCTCTCACAATTCGATCGAGGTGGCACCATGATTGATCGATTGATAGAGGCGTGAAAGATGTGCACGCGCGCACGAGAGCGAGAGCGAGCGAGCGCGCGCGCACGCGCGCGACAGAGAGAGAGAGAGAGAGAGAGAGAGTCCACGATCGAGTGTAGTATCTGCTCCGATCAGTTTCATATCAGATCCGTGGTCCATAGAGACTTAAAGAAAAAACAAAAAAGCACATGCACGCACGAGAGAGAGAGAGAGAGAGAGAGAGAGAGAGAGAGAGAGAGAGAGAGAGAGAGAGAGAGAGAGAGAGAGAGAGAGAGAGAGAGCCCACGATCGAGTGTAGTATTTGCTCTGATCAGTTTCATATCAGATCCGTGGTCCATCGAGGCTTCAAAATAATTGTAATACTAAATGCACGCACGCACAAGAGTGAGAGAGAGAGAGAGAGAGAGAGAGAGAGAGACCAATCTAACTAACTATGCACCTCCTCCCCCCAAACACGATCAAGTGTAGTATATGCTTCGATCAGTTTCATATCTGATCCCTCCCCCCCCACGATCAAGCGTAGTATCTGCTACGTTCAGTTTCATATCTGATCAGTGGTCCATCGAGACCTTTTTATTTTAAAAGTAAAAAAACACGTGCGCGCGCGCGCGCGCGCGCGAGAGAGAGAGAGAGAGAGAGAGAGAGAGAGAGAGAGAGAACCCAACTAACTATGGGCCTCCCCCCTCCTCCCCCCCACGTGATCAAGTGTAGTATATGCTTCAATGAGTTTCATATCCGATCCTCCCCCCCACACGATCAAGCGTAGTATCTCATCCGTGGTCCATCAATACTTTTGTATTTTATAAAGAAAAAAAAGCGTCCACGCACGAGCGAGCGAAAGGGAGAGAGAAGTCCATTGAGATGGTTTGCGCAAGACGTGGGGGAGAGAGAGAGAGAGAGAGAGGGAAAGAGGGAGAGAGAGAAAACCCAACCTAACTTACTGTGCGCTTCGCCCATCCTCCCCCCCACGCGATCAAGTGTAGTATATGCTTCGATCAGTTTCATATCCGATCCTCCCCCCACACTATCAACCATAGTATCTGATCCGAGGTCCATCGATACTTTTTATTTTAGAAAAGAAACAAAAGCACACGCGCGGCGCCCGCACGAGCAGGCGGAAGGGAGAGAGAGGTCCATCGAGATGGTGTGTGCAATGTGTGGGAGGGGGGGAGAGAGAGAGAGCCCAAAAAGGGTGCGCGCGCGCACGCGAGAGACAGAGAGAGTGAGTGAGTGACAGAGAGACCCCAATCTAACCAACTAACCCCCACCCCCCCTCCCCCGAAACGATCAAGTGCAGTATCTGCTTCGATCGAAAGTAACTACCCGCCACCCACCCCTGCCCCCCAAGATCAACCGTAAAATCTGCGCCGTTCAGTTTCATATCTGAGCCATGGTCCATGGATACCTTTTTATATTAGAAAAGAAAAGAAAAAAAAACAGGCGCTTGCACAAACTAGAGAGAGAGAGAGAGAGAGAGGGGGTGGGGGGGGTGGTCCGTCGAGATGGTTTAAACGCGCGCGTGTCTTGTCCAATCTAACTAACTACGTGCCACCCCACCCCCCACGCGCCACCCCTACACGGCCTGCCCCTTCCCCTTCCAGATGACCAACATCTGAGAAAAGAATATTTGTGGTGAGCTCGAGACAGGTAGGCAACGTGTGACACGCACACAACAGGTGAGTTCAAATCCGAACAACCACCTACCCAGCAAACCACAACTGAAAGGAATGGGGGGGGGGTACGTCGAGATGGTTTAAACGCGCGCGTGTCTTGCCCAATCTAACTAACTACATGCCACCCCACCCCCCACGTGCCACCCCTACACGGCCTGTCCCTTCCCCTTCCACACGACCAACATCTGAGAAAGAATATTTGTGATGAGCCGGAGACAGGTAGGCAACGTGTGACACACACACAACAGGTGAGTTCAAATCCGAACAACCACCTACCCAGCAAACCACAACTGAAAGGAATGCAAACTGTGATCAGGTCATTGACAGGACAAAAAAGCCAAAAAAAAAACATATATTCAAGGCATACAAAGCAGCAGCAGCATTCCATCGGCAATGTCAACAACAGTGCACAGGTGAGCCTTAAAAACACCCCGACCCCTCCCACACCCACACCCGGACCAACAAACCCCCACCCGCACAGGCAACCTTGTACATGTAATCAAGAGTCCAATGTCAAGTAACCAGAGAAGAGAGTGATGAGAGCGAGATTAGACTGAGGGAGTGGAAGATAAAGTAACCATCAGCTTCATCAGATAGATCTCCCTCTTGCCCACTCCTTCGGGCATCTCCTACTCGCACGTCAACAGACAGTTTCTTCTGACACACAGTGACATTGAACAGATCTCAACGTGGTGCACACGCCGCAGATTCCTTCTGAAGACAACAGCAGAGCGCGACACGATCGTGAACAGGTAAGCTCTCCGTTCTACACTCTACCAATCTCACAGCCTTGATCCTACCCCTCGCCAATTCCCATCAATGCAGTAGACTGTGGCGAGAGCCACGTCAGCAATAATCAAGAAGAGAGCTGGCGCCGAAGACAGAAGATGGCACTAGCGCAGTAGCAGTCT